CTGCAATTTCTTCCTTTATGTATCCTCCTATTTTATGTTCGGTGGCAAAATGTAATGTACAATTGCTTCATTTTATTAACTTATTAATAATGTTAATTTGGCTCAGAAAAAGAAAACTCTCTGTATTCTCCTCAATATTTTAAAGATGTATCAAATATTTTCCATTCTCTATCAGAGGTTTCCTTTCTGATATGACTCTACTCTTTAAAGGCATGTCTCCATACTCATGTTGACGTGTATTTGTGTGATTTTGATATAATCAGACTTATGGTGTTAATTAAACAACACAATGCCTTGAGTTTTCTGTTCATCTTGAATCAGAAATTAAATAGATACAACCAGCTCATTGATCCCCAAAAAGGGGGAATGAAATTGATCAGAAAACAAAGAAATTGATCTATATTAGGGGCCCATTTGGTTGTTGAAATGAAATGGGTTGATAAAAAAATAAAGTGAACTAAAATAAGGTCATGGAATAATAGAGATGTGGAGAGAGGTGGGAATGGGGATCGATTGATGATCTTATTCATGTAAATCCCCATTCCCACCTCTCGATCACTCCATGGTTTTTTCTCTCTATCATTTCCACCTCTCTATAAATTCATGACGTTACTATTTTATTCTCTATCAATTCATTCCATTCTATTTCCTTTCAACAACCAAAGGGGCACTAAATATATTTGTGATTGTCATCTAAATTAAAAGGTGAAAACAAAACCTAATTCAAATCAAAATGTTATTAACTAGCACACTGAAAGTTAATATCACAACCAATTATTAGGAAAACACAAGCAGTTGCCCTCTATTTTTGTGCCTTTAATATAGGCCTAGTATTTCTGGTAATTGCAATGGCTTATTATTTTCAAGTTACAAAAAAAAACAAAACAAAACAAAAATAGTTACGGGGCAGCAGTAGGGACAATCTCTCATCTATTTTGTTTTAGATCTAGAAGCAATTCGATGAGTTACTCCTAAAGGTCTGCATAAAAATATTGCTAGTTGGTGAGAGTTACTTTGCAAATAAGGAAAAGTAAAATAAAATTCATTTGGTTGGGTTAGGCTTAAGCATGAATTTTTTGTTACTGTATGAACATATTATAAGGACTCATACGGTAAATAAATAAAATAAAATATACCTGAATTTAGACTGCTGAAAGCACACCAGATGCTGCTGAATTTGCAACTGCATCATAGTGGGTAGTATCACCTCTTATCTGTTTCCAATAACCAATGGTTGCAAAAGTAACAAGAATTTAATCAATAACATATACAGCCAAGGATATAGAATAATTTGTCCATTCAAAACATTCAACTAGTTACCACCATACCACAGCTCCTATGCACACGATTGCATTATATTTGTGTGATTTACCCAGTCTTTCTGCAACAACACCAATCTCAAAACTACCAGGAACCCATACAACCTGAGGTAGAAGGAAAAGTAAATCGCTTTCAAATACTACAAAAGTATAAGCAATAAACAAAGCGAAGTTAACTTAAAGGATGACCATTAACATGTATGCACATAAGAGACATTATATTAAATTATATATATGTGCTGATCTACATAATACTGACAATTCTAGGATTCAGAAAGTGGAAATAATATGTGATTGCACATACGTCTACCTTGCCTCATAGATAATTTGACTCTTGGTGCCAATGAAAATAATGGGAGATAACATATTTGTTTGGAAACAAAGTGACAGTTGGACAATCTTCTCACTAACACAACAAACTAAAAAAAGTAGATAATGTTAGATAGGTGTTGTCAAGTAGATATTTAAAGGGGAAAAAATATATGATAGATAGATAGATAGAGAGAGAGAGAGAGAGAGATTGCATCAGTTACAAATAAGAAATAAGCCATTATTTTCTGAATATAGCTCCAGGTTAGGAAACATAAGCATCAATCCAAAAGAAAAGCAAATGGTGGAGGAACAGAACAGAAATGGAAAAACAAGGTAAGAAGTGTCAACCCAATCTGACAAGACAAGAACAGGATGAATATCAAGACAATAGACTACAAGAAAATGAAAAAAAAAAATGAAATCAAGACAATAGACTACCAAGAAAATGAAAAAAAATGGGGGGTGGTGGTGAATAAATCAACATTGCAAATTACAAATTAATGTTATTCCAAAATCCATACGTACATCAATATCCTCATCTTCAACAGAATAATTCTTGAAAGTATTCAGAGCTCCCTCCAAGAGATGCTTAGTGACAATTCATTAAACCGTGCAACAACCTTAATGATGAGAGACTATAGATCAGAACAGTAAAATGATCAAAAAGAAAATCATATAACTTCCATTCAGTTTGAAATCGAATGAGAATGCAGATTTTTTGAAGATATGCGAACTTCCTCAAAAATTTATTACAACAGTCACAATGATATAAGCAATAAACCTCATATAAAGTAGAAATTTATGTATGAGGTTACAATTGCAAGGGTTACCAGGATTGATGCCAATTAAAAAGTTACCAAAACAGAGTTCCCTTTAATAATTTCATATATACTGGATTTGAGAGCCAAATGTACCCGAATGCATACTGGAAACATTCTAACTAATAGATTAAATAAAACAGAAACATCAAAATATTATGATTAACTGATGAGTATAGAAGAATGAATTAAGTTTGTTTAGCTGTAATATTTGGTAAACTGACCACAGCAAAACGCAGTCCTGGTTTTCGTCACTGAACCAGTCAAATGACGTACAGCAGCAGTCTGTAAAAGAGATGATCGACCCTTTCTTTGAGCAGCAACAAGTGGCACAATTTCTGACGCTAATAAAGGAAACCCATGAATATGTTAAGGTCCTGATAATGCTCAGATACAATAAAAAGAAATGAACACGAAAGGAGGAGAAGCATCCTCAAAATTTTTAATTCACCATTATCACAAGTTATAACAAACTTATTCCACTGAAATCAGATCCTTTTAGGGCTATCATCAATCATTACAGATGGTACTAGTATATAAAGAAATGCTACCTCGTGTACAACGTGAAAATGAAAGATGACTAGGTCTTTGAGGTCCCTTGCACAAATGCAGCTTGGTACAACTATCGCAAGACTGATTGGGGCCATAATGTGGCAGAAATCTAAGCCGAGGTTGATTGACAGGAATGAAACAATCGGAGGAAACAAACAAAGCCATTCTTTTGCTCCAAGAACCCAGCACTGTCCTCAAGATACAATGTATATGCCTAAAAGGCTAAAGAAAAGACAGGAGTATCAGAAAAAATATGTTTTTGTGCCACTAGAAATAAGAGTAATATACTTAGATTGAAGTAATGAAAAAAAAAATCTCAATGAAATCAGAGATTTGAAGGTAAAGAATGGAATGTAAGAATATTTAGACAGAAAGAGGTGAAGATTGAAATCAAAGATTGAAACAAAGGGGAGGGGAGGAGAGGGGAGTTATATAACTAATTTATCATTTTCCTTTACATGTTAGGCTCCCTCCCCCCCTTCGTATAAATTAAATTTGCACCTTCCAAATTGCATGAATTATTTTTTTCTCTCAAATTCCAACATGTTGATGACAATATAATTTGTTGATGGCATTGTTATGAAA